CTGCCTGTGTGAAAGCACTGGCCAGATCCGCTCCGGGAACCCCCACGTGACAGGGGCAACGAGGGGCAGCGTTTGATACACATGCTAATGAAAAGTGCCACATTTCAGGAACACGTGGCAATAAAAGACCAAGAAGAATGGATAAACTGAGCCGAGGTGGCTAAACCAGTCTCCAAAGCCTCCACCTTTCCCAGGAAGGGGAAAAAGAAAGACCGGAGACAGATCTGAAAAAGGACATCAAAGCACGAGTGTGAGAAAACACGACAAATTAAGAGAAAATGACTCTTCTGTTCCATCATTTATTTTGGCACCGTAATACTAGTTCTCAGTTTAACAGCAGACTCCCAGCCAGCACCTGCAGACGCTATGCTCAGGGGCTGTCCACGCTGCCTCTTAAATCTGCTGCAGTCTGTGAAGGCTGCGACAATTTGACTCTTTTTAAAACAACTGGATTTACAACGTAACGGACTAAAAATCTAGGCAGACGCTGGCTACGAGCAGAGGTTATAACACTCTGTCCACAAGCTGCCTCAACACAGTTTCAGAGCTCAGCAGTTAAAAATCAGGCTTTTTAAACTATCCCAGCAGTTTGCCAAGGATGCAAACTGAGGGCTTAGGAAAGGACTCAGAAGAGACCCCGTGTGGTTTGGACATCCTGTAATGGTGATGTTCACAGTCGCCTTCGTATTTTACACTACAAGTGCACAACTAGGAGCCTGCAGGCTGTGGGGAAACAGTACCCAGATCCCAAGCAAGACCCTCAGCACTAAATGTCATAAGGCCCTTTAGCTGCTGCCGAACGTGCTCTTACTACCATCTGGTCATGACCTGACCGTGATGTTTGATGGCTCAGCTTTTAAAGGAAAGATTTCCACAGGGAACAGCGCTCTTACCACTTTCTACTTGCATTTTGGCTTGAGGATTCGATGGGCTGGTAGCCACACTTTTTAGCAACTTACTTTTCACTGGCTTCACGACAGTCTCAGCAACAGGAACTTTTTTCATGTCTGGGTTCTTCGCTGTCTTTAGTCTCTTTGTTTCCAAGCCAGGATCATCCGGAGCTGAGGTTTCCTTCTGAACAGGTTCAGACTGTGTTTTGTGTACAAATTCTGCAGACAGGACTTCCGCACCTGGGACAAGGAAAAGAGAGGGCATTTCTTTTGGTTTGAGACATATTCAGATTAAAAAGGAGTAATTGCAAAATATCCAGTTAAGTGGAAGGACTGCTCTAGAAGTGATTGGTAGCAGCAGACTTGTCTTCAACGACTTGATTTATGCATCTGATCTTACAAATGGGCTTGTTACTGATGCGAGCGATCAGTAAGCAGTTATTAAAAATCAAGCATCACTTCTTCAGCTCATTAAAAGCATGCTTTCCTGACCTAGAATAGGTGTTCTCCAGGGATAAGTCATTCTAATTCCTACCTGGCACTCTTGCACCCTAAGGGTACTTATTTACCTCTCCAAGAAGCACAGAAGAACCTCTCCCAGATCCATCAGCAGTGTCACCCAGGCCCGACGCAACATGCCCCAGGACAGAGCTCGATGGATTGTGAATCAGAGCTGACTTCAGCCCACAGCAGGCAGACACCGTGCTACCCCCTGTGCTACACAACAACCCATTTCCACAGTCGCTGCCACTACCTGTGATGTATGTAAATGGGGGAGGTTCCTTTAGATGTTTTTGGCCATGTTTCATCACCAAGGCTGAGATTCATCTCAACCCACTTTGAGCGTCTCTACATGTCAGGTGGAGGCTCAGGCTCAAAAGGACAGGCTTAGCCTATCCTCGGCAGTGAGACAGGAGCCTTCAGAGGACAATTTTTGCCATTGAGACACCTCGCATGAGCAGCTCAGGCCAGATACCAGCTTTCAGCAGAGTAAGTTGGGTGTGATCAACCTCACGCTTCTCATTTCCTCAAGGCCACAGCAAGAAGGTTGATGCTCAGGGAGTCACAACCTGACCGGGCAGAATCAGGTTACCTAGGCAGCCTGTAATGACTGTGGCTTTGGCAACTGCTCCTTGCCTGAGCCATCGACAGCCTGTGGACAAGGGATGCAATAACCACGACCTGGCTGATGTCCCTGTGCACAGTCACTTGTGACCAAAGGAAGGCAACAGCATGGACCACTGCACCGGGTTTCAGGCACCTTCACTGAAATCCCCTGTCATAGCCCTGGGCTCCTTCCCAGGCTGAACGAGAGACTGTGGAGACATCACCACAGACCTATTTGGATGCTCTCAGGACATGTCTGCTTGCTCTGGGCACCCAGGAGGACGGCAAGGGGACATGCTTCTAGTGAACCCTCAGTATCCAGGCTGGATACCCCGGAAAGGCAGGAGGAAGTTAGTCCCATTTATATAGCACTTACCTCTTTTCCTTCTGTGCGGAAACTGCAAATGGGCTAATTTAACCATGGGCTCGTTGGAACTGGCCGTGAGCCCTGGCTTTTTAGGAAAAGAGAAAGCGAGGCTGATTTTCTTGTTGGTTGCTTTCCTGTTTCTGCCGCTGTCCCCCACAGGATGCATTTGCATCTTGAGGGGTGACCATTTCTTCCTGGTGCTGGTCACAATGGCTCTGCTGGATTCCCTCCTACTCTGCTGCACCCATAGCTTGCTGGACGAGTTGACGTCTTTTGTGGGTCCTTCATCACTCTGGTCCAGCCCCACTGTGGGCTTTGGGCTTTCACTTTTGACTTTTATTTCTGCTGCCCTGTTGGAAGGAATAGGGTCCGGCGGCACAGCTGAAGAGAAGTCCACTTTACAATCAGTCTCTGAAGCACAGCGAAGAGACTGAACAGCACCAGTCAAACATCCTAAGGCAGCTGACATTTCCAGAGTATAGCTGCTGGGATCGGAGAGATAACATTGCAGCTGGGAGAAGGACTGCTCTGAGCATTTTTTGAAGGGATTAGTACATTCATCCTCGGTTGGTGAGAGGAGAGAAGAAAGGGGAACTTTGCTGGTTTGGCCAGAGGTGGGCTGTGGATTTTGATCAAGCTTTGCATATTCGTGGAAGTGCTGTTTGATATGTACGCTGGTACTGACTGTGTCTCCCCATGAAGAATTGGTGGCTTTTTGTAAGGCATAGCAAAGTCTGGGCAAAACTGAGGCTATTTTTAATGAGATGTCACTATCTTCCCTTTCATCTTTTGGATCGTGTTTTTCAACTGCAAAAGGAAAAGAATTTTACTCATATTAAAAAAGAATTAAATTCCCCAAATCACCTCACTGTTACATGCTAAGAGAACATGAAAGCTATGAAAAAGCCCCAGAAGCGAACCTACAAAAAGCTAGCCCCAGGGGCGATGTCCTGGTTTGATGGATGCTTGTAACTGCTGAAGGTAAAAAAGAATTGCACGTGGGAGTCAAAAGTGGATTAAATTAAGATGAAAGACTGCTGTTCTATCAGCTAGCCCCGTTCTGCAGGAAAATAGAGGGTGAGATCGCGCACATAATGGTCTAAGTCCCTTCATTCCAGCAATTTTCACTAAATCCAACATTTAGGACAGTCAGAGCTCTGAAATACATGGATTTTATTGTTTTTTTTTTTAAACTTGTTTAAATTTAGGGTTGCCCATGCAGGGTGTTTAGATTAGCACCATTTTCATATCACTTGTGTTGTTTATGTCCCTGTTCAGATACAACTTCCAGCAGCTCCATCTCTACCTGCTGTCAGTGTAGGTGGACGCAGTTCACACAAAGACACCACATTAGTGCTCTGGAGCGGGATGAGGAACACAGACTTCCCCAACCAGACCCGGGGACCATATAAATAAAGAACATGAACTCCTGGGTGATTTTCTAAAGCTGGAGGACTGATCCTACTGAAAACAGTTGGTGTTTCTCATTTCAGAGCATCATAAAATTTTAGCTCCCAACAGGGATCAACATGAATGAGTCCCAAAGCTTGAGGGTGCCTGCCCTCGCAGATGTCACCATGGAAGTAGGCTCTGCTTGGCACAGCAGCGTCCTCTCGGTGTCTGGAAATGCCTGGAGAGCCGGTGTGATAGGCAGAGCCTGTCGCTGGAGCTCCTTTTCTGCACAAGCCAGAGTTATCCAGCTTCATCCGCTGCAACCCAGCAGTCTGATGTCAGCGCTTTGCACCCGCAGGCTTGGCCCATCTGCGTGGTATGATCTGACTCCGAGGTTTCTTTTGGCTGCAGGGCCAGGCTGACAGCCCCAGCGCCCTTCCCCGTCACATCTCTTCCCAGCAAGGCAAAGGCATTTCTTTTCCCCTCCCAGATGCGTGATTTTCTTCACCTATTGGCCCTGCTGCTGCCTTGCGCTGGCAATGCTGGTCCTTGTTACCGGCAAGCCCAGGCATCCCCGCAAGCCAGATCCCAGCTGCCTGCCTCCGCTGCTGGCTCAGGAACGCTGCAGCACGTCTGCACACCGGGCTTGTTATGCCTGCCCTACATTCCTCCCGTCGGCTGTCTGGACAGAAAGGGAACAGCTTCAGAGGCCGCTTGTTTTGAAACGGGAAACATTATTCATGCTTCGAGTCTGACCTGAGTGACTTCAAATACGCCCGTCCTTCACCCTCCTTTTCTCTTTGCACCTCCCCTGCACTGCTGCCGTCTTCGGTGACCGTCCATTTTCAACCCCAAACCCCTGCACAGCTTTGCTTATCTTCATAGAAAGGAGAAGCCCTAAAGCAAAAACGGTTTATAATCCCAGTGGGAAGAGGTCTCGGACCCAGGGGATAGTCAGGGCTGGCTGGCGTGATGCCACTTGTGTAGGCAGAGTGGGACAGCACGTGCGAGAGTCCTGCTGGCACCAGAGGGAAAACATCTGGAAGCCATCAACATTCAGATCACAACACGTAACAACACAGAGCGTTTGCTCAACGCTATCCTCTCTCCCTGCCTCTTCGCTTTGCCACCAGCTGCTCTCTGGCTGCCCAGTCTTTGCCTCCTCTTTAGCATCAACACCAGCCACAGACAACGTCTGCTACAGCCCCAAACGTTCCTACAAACTAGCTGCTTCCACCATCTTCGCTCCAGGATGCTCCTTACACCTGGTGCCCTCTCCTGTCTCCACCATCTTCTTCCACAATAACCCTCTTCAAGATAAATACCTCCTTGCCCTGTTCTCTCCTCCAGCATACAGTGCTCGCAGTCAGCCTTTCAGGAATAGATCCCTCTGCTCTGGAGGGTATTTTCTGACCATTGTGGGGCTGGTCAGCAAGATCTCAATATCTGGGTGGCCAGTTCCCACCTCCACTCTGGTCTCCGAGCGTTTTCTCCTTTCACCTCACCCAACTTCAGGCCCTTGCTTCAGGTGTCACAGCAACAATGTACTGATCCCAGGTTTGACCTGGCAGTTTGGATCTTCAAGTCTGGAAAAGCCTCTCTCTTACACCTAGAAAAGAAACTTGAAAAATTGCCATGCTAACACAGCCACCAGCAGCTGTCCTTAAAGTTAGGCTGACTGAATTCAGGCATCAAAGACATTTGCACCCCACAATGCCAAGTTACCATCACATCTTCACCCGACTTACAAGCCCACTTCGTATGCGGATCCTGAAGGAGAAAGTTTATAGTTGGAGGTTAAGCACCAAAAAAGACAAAGCAATCCATGTGCCAGTGGGTCCTGTCGGCTCTTCTGCTGATTTTATCTTCCAGGGCGGGGAGATGGGTATGTCCTGTGCAGCTCTGACGGCAATACCAGCCATCACTCACACAGAGGCGGACCGAAATACCACTGTGTGCTGGCATAAACAGTCTCTTGGCTTGTCCCTGGGATGACTCAACAAAAAGCAAGCCAGAAGTTACGCAGAGCAAAAGGCCCCTGTTTATATGTTGCTTGGGGACCTGCACGGCTGGAAGTATTACTGGTGGAGTGGAGGCAGTGAGAGGTGCATGGATGAAGCTGTCCAGGGGAGGCAGAACAGTAACTTTCTTTATGTCCACAATAAGAAATTGTAGTGTGAATACTTCCACATAGACAGTGCAGTATAAAGCCAACAGATACGGAGAAGATTTGAGGCAAATGCAAGAGGTTGAAGCTCATTCTTATTTCAAGATCTGCAGATTCAAACTGTGCAATCTTTATTTTCTCTTATTTAGTGCCTCTGTGTTTGTTCTGCATGAAAAGAAGCACGGTTTGGAGCTGCAAACAGCCTGGATTCACCTCCCAGGTCCCAGAGCCGTGACTTACCTTGATGGCAGCAAAGCACCGTGGCTCTGCCCAACACCATCTCCCGTCACGCACCCTGACCAGTCGTCACGGCTCCACTACCAGCATTTACAGATCCCACAGCAGAGAAGTCACACAATACAGCTGAGCCTCCAAACCCTCGCTGCTCTTTAGGGAGCAATGCCCCTTCCCCACCTCTCCCCGCCCTGCCCACGCCAGCAGCGATCTTTCACGGAGCTCATTTCACTTGTTATCTCAGCAGAAAACAATTCACTTATTTTTTAGGGCAGGCTGTTTTCCTGCTGCTTTAGCAAATCACATCGGCTCCGTACAGGGTCCAGCGAGTGCCATGTGTCGTTCCGCCCCCCTGAGCATAGCTCCAGTGCACCTTTAGGGATGTAGGCCAGGCTCCGCAGGAGTCAGACTCCCATGTGCACCCATAAGACAGTTCAGGGAGTGGATGCTGCTGAAAACTGACTGAGAGGCAGAAAAGTAATTATTTGTCACTCCCACCAACTTCTTGCAAAGGAGCAAGGATGTGCAGTGAATGGGCAAGGCAGGGAACCTGGTTTAGATCAGCTTAAAATGCAGCACACCTAGAGTTGGGACTTCTCTCTCCTCTTTTAACACCCTTTGTGCTAAAACTGTAGGTGGCTCTGAGCAGAGAAATCAGATCTTTAAGAGGAATGTGTCTGTAAGAACCCCCTGGTGAGGATCCCGCACCCAAAACATGGTGTCTGAAGCCAGCAAAGGGAACCTCCCTACCTCTTGGGCACACCGACCGGGATGAGGTGAACAGAAACAGGGCCAGGAGGCTGACGGGCTCCTTGGGGTCAAACCCTATGAAAGAAAGCAACAGGTTTTATTTAGACTGAGGGTGCCCACCCTCCACCTCTAAGATAGAGCAGGACGTTTAAGCACAGATATTGGTTTCTATGTAGCAATGTCTTACCATCATCCTGTGCCAAGGCAGAGGACGTGAGAAGGATAAGGACTCCTTGATCTTGTAAATATTTGATGATTGCCTATAACAAACACATATAAAGTTAGAGCAACCACTCCCTTTCCTCCTTAGCACACTTTATATCACTCAGCATGACTGTCAACAAGCCCTGATTGCTGTTGAATGTGTGCCAACACCACCAGCTCATTCCCTGCTGAGGACGCTGTTTGGTCCATGCCACTTGGGTCAACTGGGACCTGTAACCAAAAGCGTTCCATTTATGATGTTATTCAGCACTCAAATTCCTCCCATCTGTTCCTTAAAAAATAAATAAGCTTAGCCAAACTAGCTGTAATTGATTAACAAGGTTAGTAATTTTAGTCCCTTCAGTTCAAAAGCTCCTGGGCAACTCAGCCAGGAATTGCTTTCTGCAGCCCAAGGGGAAGGTTTTCCCAGCAGGGAAAGCAAAGCTGGACGCCAGCATCTAACAAAATGCAACCAACTGTTCCAGCCACAAGCCTGACTGAAGTTCAGGCCATGCAGCTGGCTTATTAGCAGCATCAGTATCAATGAACACGTGAAAAAAAATTTGCTGAGTCTAAGAGACTCCTGCATCTCTGTCTCAGAACTGGATGACTGCATGTCTAAAAAGATAGGTGCACTTATCGAGGCTTTTCTTGTGTTTGGGTGTTGCTTGATGCCTCATCGCAGAGCTTGGCTTGGACTGCCTTTCCCTCCGTGGGGACACCCATTTGGATCTCTTTCTTCCATGCAGACACATCTTTGCAGGAAATTTACAGGAACTGAATTAACCCTACGGCTTCTAATGCCCTGTGAAACTTTGCTGATCCCATTCAATATGTTCAGACGTAACAGAGGATTGGACTAATGCCCACAGCCTCATTTCTCCAGGACAACAGAACAACTTTGGAAATGCTGAACAATTTCAGTGTAATATTCACTATTCAGAACAGTAGCTCCTTACTTTGGTTGTCTGAAGCCAGCAGAGCAGAAGGGATAAGAGCCAGCATCTCTGCTGCATAAATCTAGCTCAACGAAATAGCTGTGGTTTCTCATTGACAGGATGATTTTCATCAACCCCACCTAGCCCCAGCCACCCTTTCATTTTCATTTGGGCCCTACGCAGGCGGGTGCCTGGCCCACGCACCACTGAAAGGGAAAGGAGACAGAGGGCGTTTTTCATTTGCACTTTTGGGAGCTGCCTCCAAAGCGGATTCACCCGTGGGCCATTCAACAGCATGCTAAGGGGAGGAAAGAAGCAGACCCAAAATGGGCTGTGACTGTTTCCTCATTGAAATAGGGGAGATATTTTAATCCAGTTTGACAGATATATGAAGGTGGGGAAGCTCTAGGGCAATGATGCTTCTGATGGCTTTCAATACCACACTGCTCACAGCCACCACTCAACTATCTCATCTTCTCTGACTCCTCCAGAGAGCCCAGCTCTGCTGGGCTTGGCAGGATGTATGTTATAACCCTCAGTGGCTGCAGACATGGTGTAATACACCGGAACAAGTGGTTGTCACGGTTCCCAGTAAGAAAGGCACTTGGACTCTGTAAAGTATTGATTAAAATATCTTTTATTGGTGAGAACAGGAGAAGGAAAAAGGGATAGCATAGATAAGCTTATGTCCCTTCAGATGCTGGGAACCTCAAGATGAGCTGCAGCACAGACAGATCTGTGCCCCAACCAGAGGTCCAAGTGATGCTGCACGCTTCAGGATTACCTGCACGTGAAGGGACATTAAGATTGTCTTTGCTATCCCCTTTTTTTCTTCTCATGTTGTTACCAATATAAGATAGTTTAATCAATACTTTAGGGAGTCAGAGTGTTTTTCTTACAGGGATCCCCAGCAAACACTTGCTCCGGTACATTACATGTGGGAAGCTGCACATCGGTGGGCAGCTCGCCAGCAGTGCCGCACAGCAAGAGCGCTTCCAGGCAGTTCATGGGCTGCTGCCAACTTCTAGTGATGGGAGGACATGCCCAGCCAGCTGCGAGTTTGTGGCCATGAATTTACAACCCTGAATCTCCATGAAGCATCAGATGTGAAAAAGCAACCACCAGCAGCAAAGCCAAAGCCAAACCAACCACAAATCCCAGCAGAGACGCAGGTGCTGCGCTCCACAGGGGTGAAGTTCAGCCCTTGGAGTCACAAGGAGATGTGACGATCACACCGGGAACAAAAGGACCCCAGTGTGCTGTAAAAAAGCCTTATCAGATAATACATCGCAAGGGAAATTCCCCATTAAAAACCAGATAAATCTCAACATCTTCAACGTTCCCAGAAGCCCGGGACGTTTCAGCAGCGTAACTGTGAGTATCTAGCTGAGTGGGGGCTATTTTTCAGCCACGAGGGAGAAAGGCAGGCACGTGACAGCTTATGTCTTTTGCTTAGTAATTATCATTCTAACACTGGGGGACTTTGCTTCCGCTTTCTTAATATATAAAATCCCCTTTCAGTCCACCATGCTGTTTGCAATGCAGGGGGAAAATCATTAATAAAGACAATAAAATAATCTCATCTGGCATAAACATAGCTAAAGAAGAGGTTTGCCTCATATAACGCCTTCTGCTCAGCAGGACATGCTCACCCTAGAAATCAGTTCCCAGCTCATAGTGGGTAATCTTCATTTAACAGTTTATACACAGAAAGACTAAACTATGTTTGAGAATAACCAAGCAGGAAAATAATAATTAAAGCAGGGAAATTAATTCCATTTTGCACTAGTTCAGAATCTGTGAATAATGTTACCAAAAGTTTCAAGAGATCATTTAAAAGGTCACTTTCCTCCCAGAATGACAATGTTTTAAAATACTTACCAAGTCCTTTTCCTTTAGATTTTCGACTAACTGATCCATTTTATATTGATCCTTATTTGATATTTCTACTTCATACAGACTGAAGTAAACACCCTGAAAGCAGACTGCAGCAAAAGAGAGAGAATTTGATGTTGAAATAGTGCTTCTTGCATGAACTCTGAACAAACAAGTGCTCTGTACCACGAAGATGGGTGTGCAATTGGTGGAAGCGCTGGGTTTTAAAAAAAACTTATCAAGATTTTCTAAGCTGGTACATGCATTCACATCACAGTGAGTTTCCTCTTCAACCCGTGATTCAAAGGAGATGTTTCCCATCTTATCTCCGCAGCTAACAAAAGCAATTTAACCAATGCTGTGTGCTTCAACAGAGACAGAGAGCCTTTCAGAGGGAAACACCTCATTCTAACAGGCTATACTCTCCCCTGCTATGGAGTATTCTTATTCTGCACTCTGAGCCCCAAGGAGTTTAACAAAGGCAAGATCTTGGTCCCACCTTACCCCCCCGAATTTTACAGCAAAATTCTTCTGTTCACGTATTTCCTCTCTTTCGTCAGCCAACCATAAGACTGTGGTTCCACGGCACCCTGCTGTTGCCTCCCCCACTTGTTCTGCCTCCTTCCCTGCCCCTGGCACTATCCCGTGTCCATCTGCACTGTGAGCTGAATGCTAACCCCCAAAACAGGCTGGCTGTCAGCCGGTCTGATCAGTACCCCGTCCTGGCTCCGCAGAGCTGATACACAGATGGGAGACAACACTGCAGCAGCCCACACCGATTTTGGTGCAAGATGACACAGAAACGCACCTGGACCTTCTGCAAATCACATCCAGAGCTCTCCATGTGCAACCTGCGGTATCCATGTCAGTAACTGCGTGTCTGCTGCAATGCGCAGCCACTCACAGCCACCGGGAGCTCAACGCCTTGGGGCTGAGAGCTGCCAGGCTCCTCAAAACCCAGAAATCAATGAACCTCAAAGTGTAATTAGACACAGGTCCCCTCCTCCTCACCCTGCACTGACCAGGACAGAGAGTGGTTGACTATAGGCAAGTAGGGTCTCTTAGCACCACTAAGGGGACAGTAGAGCCCTTCTCTCCCTTCCCCAAGTCTCTGTTTTTATTTGCTGATTGCTGAGCACTCCCTGCCTCTCCCCAAGCTTTCTGTCATTCACTGTCACTGTCAGTCCCCTTGAAGTGACAAGTAGGTTACCCGTGACCCAAAGCTTCTGCAGGCAGCCATATCTTTTGGCTTTGGCTGGCAGCTACCCCCATCCACCCAGATGCAGGAGACACTGGGTCAGACCCCAAGAGGTGGAGTGTCCTCCACCTCATAGGGAGATCATGTAAGAAGGGGAAAGTTTGTCTCCCTGCATTTGCTCTCAGTTGCACCATGTTTGGCACCTTGCAGGATGGGAGCCCAGGTCTCAAAACAGGGTCTCCCACCCTGTCCCGTCTCAGGAACATCCCGATTCAAGGGCTCCTTTGGGAAGAGGATTATATCACATCAGGAGACCATACGAAGTATGGACAGGAAAACATCCCTCTGCTGCCTTGGCATTTTTCCTTGCTTATCTGCAACCAGCCACCCTTCAAGACAGGACCCAGTGCTACGTGGACCTGAGCTCTGACCTCCCGCGCAACTCCTATGGCACAGCACAAGCAGATGTTACTCAACACGCCAGTGGGTTTTGCACTCACCCTCATTCTCAATGTAATTTCTTTTTCCAAATGCAGCTTCTGGTAGCTTTTTCTTCAAGTCGGACAAACCCATGACATGGTTAATGTCCAGGTTGGGAGGCCTGTGGGGATAAAGCAGCAGACGATGAGATCACAAGCATAAAAGGCTCTCAGGATTAAGCATAGCAAAGAGTCCTGGTTGCCCTGTCACAGTGAAACCGGAGAAAGCAGCTCTGGAGAAGGCTGCAGAAGGTGCAGCTTGCTTAGCACATTGCTGATTTGAGGATCCTGTTTGTAGACACCTCCAAACACTGATACTGGTGGCTGTGTCACTGGCTGCCACTGGCTGTTTCAAATTGCTGCCTGCTGGTTGGCTTCTGACTACTGAAGATTTTAAATATCTCATTTTTTTGAACGCTAGTTACCTCAATACTTTATTTGCCATCGTGCTGATCTCTAAACACAACTGGCTGATTGTACGTGCACCATCAGGATGTCCACTTCTCACAAGGAGAAAAATCCCAAGCAGGAATAATTGATTTGGAGTACACATCTCAAAGTAGTTAACAAAAAGAGGTAACAAAATACTGCCCTTTCCAGCTGCAGTTCAGCACCTGATCTCATGTCCTCATCCAGCTGTTGCTGTGACACTGCACCGCTGGCTGCCCAACACCACTTTCCTGACACTGATGATTGCCCTGGCAGTGCAGGTGGTAAGTTGGTACAGCTGCAAGAAGATGCTGATCAATGAAGGGATGGGGCAGGAGAAACAAAACCGGCTTTTGCTGGTACACAGACACCCGAAGGTGTAATGCTTCACGCTCCACAAATTGCACAGAAAGAAGAGAAAGGGGCAACTTACAGCTGGGCTGGAATCGTGGAGCTGTATGGGGTCCTCAGGGCGATGTTGCACAAAAGCTGGCCCCGGATGGAGAGCTGCCCCCTCCATGGACAGTACAATGCTACAGGTAAAAGGGAGAACAGCTCAGAGAAAGCAGGAGAGGAGAGGAGGGCAAACAGAGAAAGGTACATTTATAAAACAAAACCAACCACCAGATGCTCCTACCTTTGTGGTTAAGCTCAGGTCTAGAGAAAAGGGAGAAAAAGAGGAACATTTAGCAACGAGAAAAGGAAAACAGCCCACAAAAGCGACTGGGTATTTTGGAACAACAAGAAGTTGCTTACAGGCTCTCTATAGCTAAGACAGGCATTTCCTTCGGCTCCCTGTACTGGCAGGCGATGACTATGTATGGGCAGATCTGCCTGGGCCGCTCTGCAGTGCTGCCATCGGACACTTCATACACGTAATACTGGGGTGAGAAGGGAAACACTGATGAAAAAAACACGTCGAGGAACAAGCGAGGCACCCGGGCCAGCGCTGTGCTCCCCCGCGGCCCGCAAGTGAGCTGTCTGCACAGTCCTGTTGCAAACCTATACCTGGCTCTGCTCGAAGGCCTGGCAGTGGCTGGTCTTTGATGGTATGTTATTTCGGCTCACCGCGACGTGGCAGTCATAGCCGGGAGACGGGCAGGTATAGCTGGTTGTGTAATTCTCAGATACCACCTTGACCTTCCCCTGTGCCAGAAAATTTATCAAAAAAACCTGTTTGCATAATTGTTTGCAGAAACTTATTTTAAAAGACCCCTGAATCCTCCTTTTCCCCAAAGACAGTTGGGTTGCTGGCAGCCCCACATTCCCCACTGTGAGGGGGCTGTGTGCATTCACATCCTTCCAAACAGGAGGGCCTGACTTGGCCGAGCTCGGCACAGCAGACAAACCAGCGCTGCTCAGGAGAGCCAACGGGAGCAGAGTGTTTTCCATGCCAGCTACAGAGAGCAGGAGCCCGTGGGGAGGGGAGAAAGGTACCACACACCAGCCCCATGGAGGAAGGGAATGGGGCTGTGATCTCAGACAGGTTACCCCCTCAAACGCCCCAAATGCACAAGTGTCCAGGGAAAAAGGTGACCCTATGGGGAATTTCTGACCTCAGCGGTAGAATTTGGAAGGTCCGCTGCATCCTCCCTGCAGGCCACCAGCCAAGTCCAGTCTGACCTCTTGCTTTCTAGTCTGACACATCCCATAGCCAAAAATCCCGACAAGCTCTCAGAGCTGATTTTACACCCCACCCCACCACAGTTATGGGCGCCAATGTCTTCTTAAAAACTGCTTGCACTGCATAGCAGCTTCTGAAAACCATTCCACACAAAAAGACTTGCATTTTACCTTAATTAGCTTACAAATGACAATATAGCCTGATTTTCCATGATACCAGGGTCTTGGATGAAGACAGTCTGCATACTTGGAAATATAAACCCCTGTGAAAACAAAGCAATGCAAGATAACGTGAATCATCTGTCAAGTAAAGCTGATTGCCAAAAAACCCCTGTAAAGAGGACCCTCCCTGTGGGAATGGGAGTCTTTGCAGAGCCAGTGCTGCAAACCACAGTAGCACTTGCTGCCATAAAAAGGGTGAAACTCTTTCTGACTCGTTTCCTTTTTTTGTCTGCTGGTATGGAACAGCATTATAATTTTCAGCGTCAGCTCTAGGAAAGGAGTTAACTTGGGTTTCCTGGGAGAAATAGCCCAGCTAACATCAGTTTTGCCCATACTACATGAAAACATACCGAGCGAAGGCTCTTCTTACAGGAAGATCTGGTGAAGAGCTTCCAGGTCAGACTGCAAGTGGGGCAGGTACTTTGCTCAATTTGGAGTCACACAAAGGCAATGTGGATGTTTATATGTGAGGAACACACACTGCAAGGGCACGAGGGCAGGCCCATGGCATGGCATAGACCCTCCCAGGGCCCTTCCTTGGCTCTTTATGGCCCTTCACCATCCCAGATGCCAACTTGAACCTCCTACCCTGTGACAAAGCCTACTCTGACATGGCTTATTCCCATCCCTTCTCCACACTCAGGGCATACCATATGTGGTTTTATTGGGGGGGTGTTGGCTCTTCACTCCTGCTTTATATTTGTAGACAAGATGGGTAGAGAAGTACATGGCGGGGGAAACAAGGACTGGGCAGGGGAAGGGCTACAAAGAGACACAAGATAATATTCATCTCAATCCATCAGGACTAAGATATACATCCAGATAAATAACCAGTTCTTGCTTGTTTTTGCATTCACTGCCATTAACTGTTCAATAATTAGGTGTCTTGGCCTGCAAAGACTTGCGGGATGAGCACTGGGAGACATTCTGTTTCTGGCAGAAGGATTTCTTTGAGTAACGCATCCTGCACTGCACGTCTTGAGGCCCCAGACTTCAGGCAAGGAACAAGCACATACTGAAAGGGCTTTGACACGTCACGATCTGCTCTGGTTATTAACAGGACCGTTGGCAAAAGCTCAGCAAATGGACTCTGAAGAGCAAACCGGTGGGGAGAGCTGCCAAAAAGCCACTTTGGTGACAAAGGTTGTTGTTAACAAGGGAGAAAAAGCCTGAAATGGAGAGGTGAAGAGACGATAACATTCTCTGGGGAAGATCCCATCCTCATCTGGTTGAGGGGGCAGAAGGAAAACAACGCTGCTTGCTTGATCCAAACAAATGCAGTTTCCCATGTAAGAAACAAGGGAGTTTCTGTGGATCTTTGCAGTAAATAACAAGGCAGTACCAGGAGTTTGTCTGGGCTTTTGCTTTTGTTTTTCAAGGAGCTGATACCCCCAGAACAGCGAACAGGTCTTTTGGTCCTCCAAATGGAAATCTTACCTTTTGCTGGGTCACCAAGCGTGGAAACAGAACTGCTGTTTACACGGAGGCCTGTCTGACACACCTCTTTTGCCTACAAAAGAAGAGACAGCTTCTTTTACCATCTATTTTCAAAAATAAGGGACACAGCTACTGAAATCTGTAGCACAATAGTTGGCAAAATACTTGCAACACGCAAACACGTGCTGCAAGTCAACTACAGATCGTCAATTACAGTCCCAAAACACCCGCGGTATAAATAAAACTAAAACCAATGTCCACAAGAAAAACCAACAGGAAGAAAATTTGTTGTTTCAGATATTAAATACTTGTATTTATCCAGTGCTGTTACAAAAACCTCCGTGGAAGCAAAAGCTTAGAAAAATCTGGAAAAAATCCAGCATCTCCAGAAACCGTTGCAAGCGCAAGCCTGGACTTTGCACTTTCTTTATCTGCATGGGCAATTTGTGGAAAAATAAATGCAATGGTGCTGGCATGAAGGCAAAAGACATTTGCTACTCTGTGCTCACTCCTCCATAGGCACAATTACTGCCTTGGGAGCATCTCACCGGCTTTGATTTAATCCATGTCTAAAGAAGATTCATCAAAGTGCACAAAGACCAAACATATATTGACCAAAGAGTGACAATAGGAGCAGTTCGAACTCATTAGGGGTGAGAAATAAAAGTAAACCAACCAAAATGTACTCAGTCCCTTTATAAGCAACACAGGGCACTCATCTCACCTAACTTCTGCCTCCTGAAAGATAAGTGTCTAGCTTAGACTAGCCTTCTCTGAACAATGGAGAGAGAGGCACCTCCAGAGAGCAATTTAGACCGAGGATTTTAGACGCCTGCATCAAATGAGATCCAACTGTCCTCTGAACAGCTCCCTCTTTCCTAGGGTCTGTACAATGAGCTCAGTCACGTGGCACAGACTACGCTAAATTTCAAACAGCTAAAATGAAGCGGGACAATTACTGCTCCCAAACTGAGACTGAAAGTGGTTTATTTTGCTGTAGCTCAGTCCAAACTGAACAGAAGTAAACTGCATTCAGGCCACTCTCATCCTGAACAAAATCATCCCTACCGTGATTTAGCATGGCATCATTAAATCATGTTGAAAGTGAATTCCCACTAGATTCCCTGAGCATCCTTGTGTAGACAAACTCTTTTCACAAAATCAAAAGCATCCATGTGAAAAATGGGTAGGAGTAACTTTCCCAACAGCTGTGTCAGGCTCTCTCTCCACCTAGCTGGCAAAAGCAAGGGAACTTGCCCAAAACCACCTGACAAACTCCTGTCTTCTGTCACAAAGGTGTTTTTCTCTTCTAAGCGTATATGAAAGGTTTCACCTGTCTGTACTTGACAATAAATCCACTGGGACAAAGGGAGACTCCTTCTATCTCCCTGCAAAGGGCAAAGGAGGCAGCCAAATCTCAAACAGTAATCAACTGGAGAGATGCAAAATAAGATCCATCACTAAAACCTCCCAGGAGCTGCTTTCAGAACTTGCTCTGGCCTATTTATACAGTAGTAATTGCACTGGTAACCGGGGTATAGAGAGCCAGGACTCTTCAGACAACAGATCTGCTGGGCTTTGGTGGCAGAGCACATGTGCAGGCACACTTGGCATCAAACTTGTTAAGCTGAATAAACATTTCAGGTTACCTTTTCTTCATTATCAAACAGGAGAAATGCAAAGGTCTCCTCCAGCTCCTCCTGGCTGTACCCGGCGGCTTCCTTTGCTTGGGCAAAAGCTCTGAGCTGCAGAAGACGCAACAACACTTTGTTCTAGTCCATTTGCGCCAGAGCCAAGTGACTGAGTGGTACAGGGAACACGTGGCATGAGGACAGCGTGTCCCACGTACCTCCAGTTGTGGTCAGTATGGGATAGCTGGCAGCAGCCAGATGATGCTGGACCAGCTCATCTGCCCACACATCATTCCCTCCCCCAGACACATGTACACCCAGTCTCCCACCACAGGGACCCCGGTCCATGCATCTGCCTGTCTCTGCCTTTGTCCCCAGCAGAACACATTCAATGCCCTCCAAGGGACAGCAGGCACGTCCAGCCCCACAGTACCACGCTGTGCTCATCGCAGGGAAGTCCAGCCTTATTGCACCTTGCCCCTCTGGCCACACATCATCGGCTACCGGTGAGTTTGTTTCACCGAGCAGCTTGTGGGCTGGTGGAGCAGCACATTTAGTAGCCAGCTGTGGTCATCAGAAGACAAATCATCTCAGCCATGGTGAAGATGCCTACAGATGGGGAGACACTTGGAGGCACCTCTCTTTTTCTCTCTCCACTGACCAGGGACGCCTAGACTATTTGACTAGAGGGCAGGTGCTATCATGCGACTACACCTCAGAGGGTTTGGCTACAGCCAAATAACACATTACTCCAATTTCTTTTGTCTGATAATTAAAGCAGAGCATGTTCTCAGTGCACACAGGGAGAACATCATGGGAGCAGACAGAGCTGGGTCTGAGCCCGTGATGTTTTGGGGCTTTAATAAAAGAAGTTGTAGTAGGATGCTATTTTTTCAATAGGGTTAGAAGATAAGAAAACAACAATCTCATCACTGATTTTGCTTATTTTGGCTTTAGAACTCACAGGCAAATCAACAAATGACTTGATACCTGCTTTCCCAGTTTTTTATCCAGCTCCACAGTGACTATCCCAGATTTAGGCAGCCAAAATGTCTAAGCTCTATTTAATTCATGACAATAAGCAGACTGGTCACCTCCAGTCCCCAGAGGAGACAGCCTGTGTTCCATGCCAATGACAGTGGGACTGTAGGGATGAAGGCATTTTAAAAGTGGTTCTGTACATGCCCCAGGGACCTGGAGATGGTGTTAAAACTGGTGCCTGCACAGGCGTGAGGGCAGACAAAAGAAATACCACATGGAAATCTGCCTTGCTGTGAATCAGCAGAAGTGCAATGACATTAAAGCTCTTCCGCTAGGTATCAAACCAGCATTTTAACCTGCCCCAAAGGCCTGCTCCAGGAACTGCTGCTGAATGTTTGGCAACCTTGTCTGAATGGACCTTTTGTTCCTGATCAGATTGGGAAGGAAGAAGTGCAAGAAAAGAAAGAAAAGGCTCCCTTCGGTCAGGAATTGCAAATGCGGCTCTACAAGGCAAGCAGATTAGCCACGTGCTGCAAAGCAAAGACATGCTAATAAACCAGCATTTACAGACATCTGCAGTTCCCAAAGAACTGCCACCCCATCCCAAGCTGCCAGCAACACCTTGCTCCCCCACCGGCCTTACCTCACTTAGAAAAACATCGTTTTCCACCAGAATTGCTTGGCTGTACTGAAAACCGTCCTGAGATGTAGAGTCCAAGTAGGAGTTCTGCAGCACTGAAACTGCTGTCTGCAAAACGGAACTCGACTCTTCCGACTCTGGATGAAAACCTGGAGGAAGAAAGCAAAAAGCAGGTGCAAATATTAACTCTGGGCATCCCCAGATCAGTATGGGGCCTCAGGAGAGGCAGGCAGCAGTTGAGTGTGACTCATGGCACACCGGCCTCATTTAACAAGCCTGGATCTCCAAGGAGCAGATCAGCTCTGTGGCTCCCACTGGGAGCAGTAGCTCCCCTCCAGCCATGCAACCCCCAAGTCTTTGTCTGCAAGTTAAATTGCCCTTCCGCAGGAGGAATATGAGCTCCCTGTTTGCCAGTGAGCTCTTAAAGTTCTTCCTTTGCAACAGAAAAAAAAAAAAAAAGAAATCGTTAGCAACTGCTAGAAGCAAAGCCTGGTGGTAAATTAACTTTACACCGAGCAGGTCAGAGTTTGTGCTAAAAAGTTACTTAGATTAATTGCACGCTCTTTTAGAGTGTGAGAGTTGATTGCTGCACACAAGGAAAATCTTGGTGCATGCTCAGTTTCTTGGGGTTATCTGTTTTACTATAAAGATCTTCAGATCTTGAGTGAATGTAATTTTCAATACCATGAAAGCAAGCCTTCCTTCAAAGCCTCAACGGGCAGAGCTTTCTCAAAGCCCAAATTCTCTTGGCATCTCCGAAGGAAAACATCCCAGTAAAACACTTCCCAGCAGCATCCCACCAAGAAGAGGTCCCAAAGCAGTTGACAAATTAAATACCAACAGAGAAACAAAGGAAAGCCCTGCAGTATTTGTGCTCTTGCAGCTGTTAAAATTCAAATATTAAATAAAGCAGCCACTTAGAAACACAGGAAATCCTGGGCTCAGTCTCTGTTGCACATTTAAAAACCTTTATTACTGGTGGTGATTCATGAGCTACGAGATTTCAAATCCCAAGCTGAGTTTGCCACATAGACACATTGAAAAGTTTTATTTCTTCTGACCCATAAACTTTAGAAAACAAAGCAGTCATCTATAAGGAAAGAAATGTAGAACCGCCGAACCCCACCCGCGGAGCCGGCTTTGCACGCTGGTCGCTCTTTAAGAAAAACATCACCAAAATTTTTGAGGACAAATAGATAAGTTCTCGTTTTAACTCCTAAAGCAGAAAGGCCCACGTTCCTCTGGTGATGAGCAAGACAGCATAGGTTGTCACCCTGCAACCTACTTGGTGTTTTGACTCCTATTTTTTAAACAGTAAGTTTTAATTGTTTTTTTCTTTTCTTCCCCTCAATTAAAAAGAAGAAAAAAAGAAAAGCCAGAATCATTCCCTATGTCACAAATCTTGTTACTCCTCTCAAATTACTCAAGGCCAAAAAAGGACCTAATACAAGGAACAGGAAAAATAACAGTTCGAATTGTGTGTATTAAACTCATTTAGCTACACTGCTCTAAGCCAGTTCAGCCAGTCCGCACTACGGGGCTTAACAGGGGAGCAACAGCGTCTGCATTGTGCCAAGCAAAAGAAAAGCCAGACAAGGCAAAAAGTAGGGGAAACAGTATAAAAACGGCTCTAAAAACGGTTTCTAAGAAAAGCATGTAGAGGGCAGGTGGGAATAGAAATTGGGAGCACAGAGAGTCTTTAAAAGTACTTTTGCCTCTCTCAGTGTTGTTCTGGGGTCTTTTGTGCTCTCTGGTATTCACTTTATAAACCTCCCACTTTCAGGTGATGCCTCTGTAATCGTTGGAAGCAGTAAAAAAGCAGGTGAACCCAACTTGGCTCTCAAGCATAGAAAAATGAAAAATAGAGAGATCTCCAGCTCTCTCTCAGTATTATTGTTTTCTCTCTTCGAACCTAATGAGGATAGGAAGGGATGTTAAGTTTGCTCACTTTTTTCCTCACTTGTCTTTCATTTTGCTTTGTGTCTGTTGCATCCTGTGGATCTCAAAGAAGCAGTCAGGGAGTTCAGACTCCTCCATGGAAATCAGATCAGGGAATTAGATCCCAGCTCACAGCTCTGCTCAAAGGCTTGGACTGAACATAACCTCCCTTTTTGCTTCTTGCTGGAGCACCACAACGCTTGTGTCCAGAATCATCCTCCAAGGAGAAACAGCCCTGTCCTCAGCATCTTCTCCACCAGTCTAAACAAGCCCTGATCCCTCGACCGCTCCTTATATCCCAAAAGCACAGGACTGCAGCAGATGCTATTTAATTTCACAGCTATTGCTCCAAACCATCTCACTTTTCAGGGTGTGATATTCTACTCCTCCTACCAATAGCGTCTTGCAACTCTGCATCATCAACAAGTTTGGGGTCTTGGAGCATGAGATAGGCTATGTCTAAACGTTTGAGCTGGGAGCCAGTTGTGTGTTTCCACACTGAGTATGTGAGACACTGAGTTGACAAAGAGAGATTATGGGGTTAAAAACCCCTCCGGGTGCATAACACATATTGAGGGTGTGGGGTGTTAAAACAGCAAAAGCATTGGATATTCAGTATCTTTCAGGGGTAAAAGCTAAAGGCTTTAAAAAAAAAAAAAGAAGGCTGGGAAGCTCTTCGAAATGCAACATAAATAGCAATTTTGCAGGTGATAACTCAAACATTTGTTCCTCCCTGCAAGTTCAGCTGCAGTGTAAAAATGAAAGTCCAAAACGGGAAAAAAAAAAAAAGTTGCCATAGAATACATAAATACATGAGATGAAACAACCATAGAGCGTGGCACCGAGCCCAGTAGCTTGCTGTGACCCTCATCTCCCCTTTCAGATTTAAGAGGCTCCTTCAGATCTGTTCCCACCCTAAGGAAGAGTCTGCACTCACACAAATACATGCAAAACCCTGACACATCCAGGTTTCATTTGCAGGAGCAGAAGGCCCTTGACAGTCTCTGCGCAGGCTGTGAGGAGGCGAAAGTGAAAGTGCCTAAACCAGAAGTAAAAGTGAAAGTGGCCATTCCCCTCTGAGCAGCTTGGACATGCCACTACCACCACGCAGCATCCTCAGGGAACGGGACCGACTTCTCGCACGGGGTCGGTCGGACAGCAGAGATGCATCACAGGACCAATGGCTTGAGGAGAGCTGGAGAAACCCAGCACAGCTCTGCACCAGCACGGCCCAGCGGAACCCACAGTGGGTGTTATCCATGCCCTGAAATCCTTGGGGAGGGGATTCACAGCCTGTCCTGGTGACTTCCTACCCTGATAGCAAGGGAGAAAAAACAGTCACCTTTGCAGCTATTAACATCAGTTGCCAACACTGCAAGTAAGGCTGATCTTTCCCTTGTGCTGTGGCTGTACAGAAGTCATCCTCCAAGAGCCTTGCACTCCTTGGAAGGCTGCTAACCTACTCCTTCCTCCTCCCTTTCTAGACTTAAAGCCAGCTCCTTTGACCTTTCCTCCCTGATCGCGCCTGCAAATGTCTCAACGTGCCCTGTTCTGTCCTCTGCAAAGCGTTGGCTAAAGCCAGCCTGAGTGGACATGCCCCACCAGCAGACATGCACGGCCCACACGCCTCCCGGGAGCTGCACGCCTTTGCTCCCCTTTCCAATTCAGGGCTCCTGTAGGTGCTGGATGCCCATCAGGAGAGCCAGGCAAGGCCAAGAGACACTTACTTCCAAAAAACAGGATCCTCTTTTGGCTCATCCATTTTCATGTGACCTCTGGATGTTCTCACCACACAGAGACTTCCAAAGTCAGCCCAGAAGGAAAAACCCACGGCTTTCGAACCACTTACTTGTACGGAGGAAAAGGTTTGCTTTTCTTCCCGGTCATTTTTTTTTTTTTTACCTTAAAATCTTAGTAGCACTTGCTGCAGACACTTGAATGCTGTCAAATCTCCAAAAGTCTGCAACCCAGCGTGGTCAACGCACACTGAGCACAGCCACACTGCTGAAACCTACGGGGCTTTCAACCTGTCCTCAGCACAGCTGCTCCTGCACGGTCCCTTCCCACAGCCGTTCTCCATCTTGCCTCTCTTTAACCAGGATTTCCTCCATTTTCCTGGCTTGTTCCCATCGTTAGTGTGAGCTGTAACAGCAGGCATCACCGGCAGCGTCAGTTCTGGCACCACCACATGCCACTCTGTACCGTCAACAGTTCATGTACTGCCAGCTGAGACTCCTTAAGATAATCCTTCCAACTTCTTTGGGTCTGCTGAAGTGCACTTTCTCGCTTCTTTTTGTAATCTATCCTGATTTTGCTGCTCTCACTCTTTAGTTTTACTTTCTAGTAATTTCTAGCACGCAATAATTATTATGACAATTATATGAACTGTCCCTTCTAACTCAGCATTACAAAACCCACAGTGCTTGACCAGCTATTTACCTGCAAACTTCTTTTAGCTACAGCCTGCTGACGGAGCAACCACAAAGGTGACCTGGTAAACATAGTGACAAAGAAGGATGCCTCTTTTTCCAGGAGTCCTGAGACATCCTTGATAAGCTCAGCCAAAACCTCCTTTATGGGGAGCAGTTGGCAGGACAAAGAAATTGAGATAACAAACTGACCTTCCAGGAAAACAGAAGTCAGCAATAACTATTCTGGGAACTGATGTCCTATGCCCACTTACGTCTCTACACCAAAAAGGTATAAAAAGTAACTTGCTAACCTACCCAAAACGAGCTTCTCTGCAAGAACTTCCCTGGATGAGATCTCCCAGACAGATCAGACCCTCGCCAGGGATGCCTGGCTGACTCTGGACACCTGCACAGCCCAACTTTTATAATGAGTCCTGGCTCATTACCACTGAAGCACAGAAGTCTCTTTCCTCTTTTAAGACAAAAGTTTAAGACAAAAACTGAGCCAAATTAAGCCAAACAAAGCCAAAAATCACCATCTCCCACAAATGTTTAGGAGCAGGAAGGTGTCATGCCTGCAAAATAACAAGATGTTGACTACAGCAGATGCTTCTGACCATTGTAAAGTATTTTCAGCTAATGACGTGATGTAAACTAAGCTTACATTTACTCTCCAGGAGTAATCGGGCAAGGAGATGTAGCACAGACCACTCACATGGCTAGCTGATATTAGGTGCATCTGCAAGCTGATCACCCGAGGCAGACTCCAGAGACCGCTCCGTGCAGTGTGGCAGAGCTAC